GGCAAACAATACAGCGTTTGATTTTGTCTGCAAAGGAATGCTGTGACATTCTGGTGAATCAAATAGGCGATCGTCTGCGCACTGAACACCTTGCCGCGTTCTCTTTGATGAACCCTAAAAAATTTCAAAATTTGCACGTCAATTTCCCATCCATTTGTTGGCTACTGTCTCCAAATTTTACCTCATGATAAACGTGGGTAAATTGGAAAATGAATTGCGATGTATATACACCAGTCAAACTTTTCAACACATCAACTTCAACTTGCGCGCTCTATGGGTTCCTCATAGATAACACTCAAGTAACTATCTTTGCGGCGTCTGCAAAATTTTAGACATCATTTTGACGACGCCTATTTCTTCCGCCGACGCAGAGCGAACATTCAGCACGCTGAAGCGTATTAAAACGTATCTCAGAAACACAATGAAGCAAGATAGATTAAATTCCTTGGCTGTTTTATCCATTCACAGAGACGTTATTTCTGGGATGCATGACTTTAATCAGCGCGTTATTGAGCATTTTGCTTCCAAGTAACCGCGGCGTGTTGCATATATGTTCAAGCAGTAGAAGTCTAGCAGCATATATATCTATGAGTGAGCGACGCATGTCCTTATCTTTGCATTAACTTTCCTTTCTTCATAGTAACGTTTTAAACCTTATTTTGTGTTTTGTCTGCTTTCCCGAAGTTTCTGTTAATATGTCATTGTATTTATCTGGGTAAATATTGCCTTTCCTTTTGAAAGAGGTTTCAAAATAAACTATGTCTATATTTTTTAATCCCTTGACTTGGACCTGTTTTAAAGACACTTTCTTATTGTTAAAAATTGTCGCTTTTGCCGATTGGTTGTTACCGATGGAATGGTTTTTATACTCATAAAATGATGGGAGAACTTACAGCGCTCATCCTGTCCCCGTAGATGGGGGTGACTTGGTCCCGCAGTAGCTTGCCCCGGTTGTCAAAATGACCACGCGCCGCCACTGCTATTTACGATTACTGGAACAAAATTAAAAAGCTCTATAAATTTAAATATTCATTGAGTTATTTGATTTATACATAATATTCGGGAATGCGACAAAAACTGAAAATCCACGAAAGCAAGCCAATGATTACAGCTATGCCTAAAATCTTTCCAAGTGAAAAGTGTCCGAGTGGCCGCGAAAACGGTTGCGTCACTATTGCATCTTGTAGATTAGTCAACGCTACACAAATAAACACGGGGGAATTCCATTCAACTAACTAGTAGACTTCCGCATTTTAATTTCAAGTCAAGGATTATTCTTCAATGAAATTTTTTTTTTGAAAGTAATTAATTTTTAAAGCATCCACAAGAGCCGCAGGAAAGGTTGTTGAGAGCCGCATGCGGCTCTCAAACCCTAGTTTGAGAACCACTGGACTAAAGTGTCCCTGTTTATATTTTATATATATTTTTATGTTTATATATTGACCCTTGTTTAATGCTGTTATGTCGGATCCCGACCACTCACTACACGAGATAGAAAAACTACGTCATTCGTTCTTCTTTTTTCCGGTTGCTGCGCTGGCAACAACGGTTGTGTGTTATTCGCTGTTTAATTAAGTTTTTTAGTTGTATTCGCGGATTGATTTAAATAGTTTAGTGGAAAATGGGAGACGACGACGATGAAGACTGTGTAGAACAAATAAATACTGTGAATATTTGATTTTGTGTGAATTTGATAGGGATGGGCCGGGATTCGAATCCGGGCATTTTTTGAACTCGGATTCGATTTCGAGTCCACGTCGTTTTTACCGAGTCTATAATCAATTCTGTTTTTACTAATTTACCCCTATGTTTGTACTTTTACCCCTATAAGTCTCACTACATACCTTAACTAGTTGAAATTCAAGGTTAGATATTTAACAATATCACTCGTGTGTATTATAAACACTCCTAATAACAACGACGACAGATATCCAGATAATATAATGCAAAGTAAAAACTATTGATAGCTTATAACAATGATGCGCCAGTCGCCTTCAAACTATCTATCCTTTTTGGTATACATGTGATACACAATAAAATATGTGTTAGCGCAATATTTCTGAGTTTTCGATTCGCGTAAATAAATATGAAACATGCGCAGGATCAACCCAAGTGGGAATCTCATCAATACCTCTTTCAAATCGAGTTTATTACGTGCAATCCTTTCTCTAAAAAAAGGGAGCAATGGAAAGCCTGGAACGTTTTGGAACGTTTACATGAACTACTAAATTGCAAGCATTGTATTGACGACGAGTGGAATCTCTCTACCATTTGCACACGCGATACAGTAAATTTAAGGTTAGAAATATCTGGAATTATGGGAAAGCATTGTAGTCAAAAGCTTTTTATTTTTCTATTTGACATGTAAGAATTTCTGAATAGCCGCCCAGAATTGACGCAAGGTGGTGGGCTAGAAATCCAGTTCACAGCCAAGGCGCACATTGACCCACGTTTACGTTTTTATTATGGCAGCCAAAAAAGAAGAAAAATATATTTTTAAATTGATTCAACAGCTATCTGCGGAACTATTAGGCAAAAAATATGAGCTACGACGTATGTTTGTGAGCGCGCGATGCTGTAGTATGGTCAAAAACGTGTTTTTCTACTTTTACGTTGTGACGTCACGGACTCGGGAGGATTCGATTCGAGTCCTTGACCTATTACTCGGATTCGTCGAATACTGTGAATATAAAATTCAAAAACAACGGATGGCTTAATCAGGAAGCTGTCTAAAATACCATCTACGAAGCTATAGGTAAAAACACAATCAAGTGTATGTATCCATTAGATGGAATATGGAGAATAAACTTCAAAACGGCGGAAGCCTGTAAAAAAGCAATGGAAGGAATAAAATACAACTTCAACAACGTTAGTACCGGTAACACATATACTGCATATCCAGAGGAAGTATACTCTAATATAACGAACGTCACCGTAAGCAAAGTTCCAGATGAAATTTCTGACAAAAAAATGACAAAACTTCTATCAGGATTCGGAGAAGTTAAGAGCATGAAAAAAATGGTATATGAAGACGGCATTGAAAATGGAACACGAAAATGTAAAATAGTTCTAGAAAAAAAATATACCACCGATAATTAAGCTTCCCAAGAAGTATACTGGAGAAGAAATCCATACATTCTATTCAGCAAGACCCAGAAACATGAAGAAATACAAGTAACTGGTGCTATATCTGTCACTCACTGACTCATGAAGTGGAGATGTGTCCAAGAAGAAGGTACTGATGTAGGTACTGTGGAGGTAAAGAAAATCACATGTAGAAAAAGATATTGAGAGAAAAAAGATGTATCACAACTTTCACAAGAAGCTGCAAATTCCACAACAGAAACCTAAGAGTCAACGACCGCACAACAAAATACAAATTTAAATTTAGGGAACCAGCAAGAGTCATCGGAAGAAACAAGAACCAATACATCTAGGCACATTTAGAGATATCACAAAAGCTCTGAATAACAGTCACATTGCATATAACAAAATTGAAATATTTGCTGGAACAAATGAAATCAAATCAGTCCCATACGACATCACCAAACTTAATGTAAGGGGACTCCTTAGGCAAGCTAAATAAATAGCTGAAAATGTTTTCATATGTGGCATAGTGCCAAAACGTGGCTTAAGTGAATGAAATCTCGGGTGTGACAGATTAAATGATGTTATGAAGGAAGAAGCCAAAACTGGAAAAGTTACTTACATCGAAAGACCAGCAGGTATGGCTGAAAACAAAATAAATGATAGTTTATTTGAAACTTGCCATGGTTTTATCGCGCTATTACCGGTATATTGACAAAGTCATGTACAATATTTTAGTTTATCATACGGAATTATACCTACCTAAACCTAACCCCAAAAACATCAAAACTGTATTCATAAAAAAGCGTTCCAACTTACCCAATATTTATCACCATCAGGGACAGCCCTGCTATTACAGCCGACATGCCGTGGTTACGGCAGCAAAATTGGTGGTATTCGATTTGCTGCCGTAACAACGGCAGCTCGCTATTGGTTTGTGGCTGCTAAAGAGTCAGTCGCCGTGAGTTAGGTCATAGCGGTCATGGTTTGGAATTTCCGCCATGGTTTTGTGGCAGCTCTAGACGCCACAAAATACTTGAAACTGCACTTGCGAATTAGAGGCAAAAAATTGGACAGATACAATACAATTTTATTTTGATCT